AAAAAAAATACATACACAAGAAAAAATACTTCTTCCCTCTTGGAAAGAAAAGGAGTGCCAGCAGAATATAAGTCCTTTAAGAAAATAGTCCTGAAGAGGATTCCCACCAGGATGGGACCCTTCTGATCCCTGTAGCCTGAGAATAGGGCATATGACCTGCAATAGATGAACCAGGCTGTGGCAGGTAATGTGTGTTAGCAGTTATTTCTGAAATAACTACAGGGATACATGGAGGTAGAAGCATTCAGAGCTGGATAGAAGAATTCTTTGAAGATGTAGTTACAGCATTCAGTTAATGAAGGGAGATTTAAATGAAAGTGTATATCTATTCTTAGTGTAGTGGCACAAAGGCTATTATTTGGGCATTCTATAGAGGGAGATATTCTTGAATGTGTTGATTACTTTGGTACAAAAACTAGGCACAAAGTGGAAAATAAAAGTTATTGAAAGATTGCAGATAACCTTGACTGACCACCCAACAGCATGCTGTGTCTGATATGCATCCCTCTAGAGACCTGTGCTGCAGAGCAATCTGACACAGTGTGAGACTGACAGATGTTTAGACTATAGGTAGTTTTATTGTACTCTTAACAAACATCCTGCTCTCTCCAACCTTGAAAAGGATTTCTAAGGCAAACCAAACTGTTCCTCAGAGTTTTTTCTTGAGTTTAGTTTTATTCTACTGGTAAAAGTAACTTACTTTTAGAATACATGTACATTCATATACAAGTGTATATGTGTATGTTAGGTTAACACATTAATGTATACAAGTGGAAAAAAGATCTCAGTTCAGTTTTTAAATCTAAGTAGAATGTTTTAAACTAAAACATTAATCCTCATTGAAGGTAAGTACAGTCATAAAAAAAAGTACTAAAATTCAGATCAAAATGTATAATGCTTATAAGCTCTTGTACCAAAATGAAAAACTAGTTTTAAGAACTTATTCAGAAACCTTGCTTTTTAGAAAACTGGAAGTATCTCAAAGAATTACTCCTAACAATCATGAATTGCCCATTTACTTTTTTAAAAAAATATTTTTTAGTTGTAGATGGACACAATATTTTATGTGGTGCTGAGGATCGAACCCAGGGCCTCACACATGCTAGGTGAGAGCTCTACCACTGAGCCACAACCCCAGCCCCCCATTTACTTTTGAAGGAATAAAATTTAGAAAATTGGAACAGCTGCATTTCATAATACTTCCCTACCTATAAATCTATATTATTTATTGTACTCCAAAAGAGAGTAAAACTGGGAGAGAAAACTGCAAGGTGTATTGTTGATATAACAGCTAAAATAGAGATGATTCTTAGTGTTCTACAACACAGTCCTAATCCTGCCAGTTGTTGTTATATGATTTTATAATTGCCTTTAAGACAATGTCTTAGCAGTTGAGATGATGTTAATTGCTATTTACTATTTTTTTAAAAATGGTTCTACTGGATGCAGTGGGGTGGGGAATGGTTTTATTGGCCAGGTATGGTGGGGCAAGCCTGTAATCCCAGCTACATAGGAGGCTGAGGCAGGAAGACTAAAAGTTGGATGAATTAGACCTGTCTCAAAAAGCTAAAGGGGCTGGTGATGTAGCTCAGTGTTAGGTAGAACAAACCCTGGTTTCAAACCCTGATACCACACAACACACACGGTATTACTGAAATCAGTCCATATGATCAAAATCACTGACATCAGTCCATATGATCAAAAAGCCAAATATATTTTCCTTTGAAATTGATGTGAGAAATAGAAATTTTATAACAGTATTTATCCTCGCTTAATTCTAATAGGATGTTATTTATGCCAGTTTCATGTGATTAGCAAAAACTTCTGTCTCCTCCTCCTCCTTTCTTCCTTGTCTTCTTTAAAAAAAAAAAAGAGTATTAGAAGACTTGACTTTAGTCTGACAGGGAGAGAGGCCAAGAAAGGCTTCTCTGAAGAAGTGATATCTAAGGTGCTATCCACAGCCTTGATTTTGCAAAGCAAAAGAATATTCTGGGCAAAGAGAAAAGCATGGCACTAGCCTTAGGGCTAGAGGCGGCATGTTCCATAGGAAGTGGTGAAGTCCTGGGAGGGAGGTAGAAGGCTGTGGAGGAGGTGACTGTAAAGGAGCCAGACACTATAGGAATATCTGGAGAAGGAGTGTTTGAGGAAGAGTTTCCAGAAAGAATTAATACTGTCAAATGTTACCAAGGGGAGAAACAACAGGAATTAGTAAGTGTTATTAGATTTAGTAGCATGATAGGATTATGGGTAACATTATCAAGAGCAATTTAAATGGAGTGATAAGGGACTAAAACTAGATTAGAATGGATTTATGAGTCTGAAAAAGTTGATTAAGAGGGGAATAAGGTGTTGGGTAGCTGGTGAGAAGGAGACAACTGTGGGAATTTTTTTTTTCTATATTAATGAGACTTAAGCCCAGTTAAAAGATATGGGAATTATTAAGGAAGATGGGTTGTAGCACAACGGTAAGATGTTTGCATAGCATGTAGAAGGCCCTGGGTTCAGTTGCCAGCACCACAATTAAGGGCAGTGGGTATGAGAGAGAGAACAAGTTGATCATAGAGAGAAAGGCTAATCAGTTCCTGAGATGGAGGTAATGGAATCTAAAGGAAAAGGTAAGCCTTAGGTTAGCCTCTAGGAAACTAGAAGGAACAGGTGGATACAAATGTAGGCAAGTTGTGTGGTTTGTTCTCTGTTATTTGCAGAGTAAAGAAGAAGCTGGGTGGGTTGGGGTCCAGAATAGAGAAGGAAGTAAGAGTAAGGGCCCATTTGAAGTTGGTTTTCATGTTTTTTTAGTGGACCATATCTGCCCTATTTTGTGACTATGGTTTGGTGACATAGGTATAGCTTGGAGAAAAAAATTCATGCAGGATTGTTTTTCTCAGTTAAACTTAGTCCCATAGCAAGAATATTGTTAAAATGACAAACCATGGAATTAAACTTACCGAGAGGAGAAATGAAGAAAGAAAAGGGCCAATAGACTGGGCAAAAATATATGTGAAGGGGCTGAGCTGAAGCTCACTGGCAGAGCACTTGCCTAGTATTTGTGAGGCATTTGATCCTTAGCACTATAAAATACTAAACAAAGGCATGCTGTCCATCTACAACTATTAAAAAATGTTTTTAAAAATATATGTAAAGGGGATATAGTTGAATTTGGGGTTCTGTCATTTATGTTCTGGAAATTAAACCCAGCGCCTTATGGTGGAGTTATATTTTTAAAAATGGAAATACAGTTTTCATACTATAAAATTCACCCTTTTGAATGTGCATTCAAGGATTTTTAATCTTTTTAGTTGTATAGCTGTCACCATTATCTAATTCCAAAACATTTTTGTCCCCCCACCCCCAAAATATGAGTTATTCTCCATTCCCCCCCACCCTATTCTGGCAATCACTAATCTACATCTGTTGATTTACCTATTCTGTATATTTCATATAAGTGAAATCATATAATATGTGGCCATTTGAATCTAGCATCTTTCACTGAATATGCTTATAAGTTTTCATCCATGTTATAGCATGTGTCAGTACTTTCACAGCACAGTAAAGGTCCATTTTATGGATATATGCACACACACACCTCGGACATTGTGTTGTTACTTTTTTGGCTGTTAGTAATGCTGCTCTGAACATTTCTGTATGTAATATTTAATTTGCATAGATGGCTATAAGCTAATATGGTTACTCTTGGGTTTTTTTTTTTTCCTTTTGTGGTACTGGGAATTAAACTCATGAGGCACTTGACTACTGAGCTCCATCCCTAGCCCTTTTTATTTTGAGACAGGATCTTGCTAGGTTGTCAAGGATGACCTCAAACTTGCAATCCTCCTGCCTCAGCCTCCAGAGTAGCTGGGATCACAGGTGTGTGCCATTCTTCCGGGTAGTACTTGACATTTTTGAGGAAGTGCCAAGCTGTGTTCCACAATAGGTGGATCATTTTACATTCTCACCAGCAATGTATGAGGGTTCCAGTTTCTATAAATGCTTATCATCAGTTTGTTATAACTATCTTAGTGGGTGTGTTTGGATATTTTTATAAAACTTATTTAAATAAAGTAAATAAAATACATGAATTTGTTTCCTATAAAATATTACTATTATATACATATGACTAAAGACCCTTTGACCTCCACCCCAGTTTGTTCCTATACATTATATGAAACAGTTGTTTTCGGTTTAAATGTATTTTTCTAGAATTTTTAGAAATTGCTATTGTAAGCCAGAGCACAGTGATGCTTGCCCACAATCCAGCTACATGTGAGACTGAGGCAAGAGGATTGTTTGAGTCCAGGAGTTAACAGATTGGCCAGGAACATAGTGAGATGTTGTTTCAAGGAAAGAAATTCTCAGTGTGGTCTCTTTACATTAATCCAACAATTTTTATAGAAACACTAAAATGATAAAAATATTTTCCTTTCAGTCTCTAACTATAGAATGTGACATCCTTTAAAAAAATATATTCATGGGCTGGGGATGTGGCTTAAGCGGTAGCGCGCTCGCCTGGCATGCGTGCGGCCCGGGTTCGATCCTCAGCACCACATACAAAGAAAGATGTTGTGTCTGCCAAAAACTAGAAAATAAATATTAAAAAAAAATTTCTCTCTCTCTAACTTTCTCTTTAGAAAAAAAATATATATTCATTAATAAAAAGCACAAACAAGCAAATCACCTAAATGCCTTTAAGCGTTTATAGTCCTATATGTTATGATTTTTAAAATTACAGCTCTTGCCAGGTGCAATGGCATATGATCACAGCTTGGGATGCTGAGGCAGGAGGATTACAAGTTCAAGGACAGCTTGGACAAGTTAAAGAGACCCTGTCTCAAAACAAGAAAAAGGGCCAGTTATATGCATCAGTGGTACAAAACCCCTGGGTTTAGTCCCCATTACTCTTGTTATGTGGGATTCATTCTACTGTCTTTCCCATTCCCCATTACAGCTCTTGATCTTCATGTAATAAAACAATATCAGTAAAACTAATATTCTCTTGTCCTTAGTGCTTGGCTTTCTGGCTATGAAGACCCTGTAGTGTCTCGAATAAATATGAGAATTCAAGATCTAACAGGACTCGATGTTTCCACAGCAGAGGAATTACAGGTAGGTAATCATATTTGCAAGTTATTTTTATAGTTCTTCAAGAAAGGCTTCAGATAAGAACTTTGGACACTGAACAGGCAGTTCTTTATTTGCATGATAGTTGGAAACTGTAAAAAGTAACTGTTGCCTGAAACCATGCAATGTGATTTTAATAATCAGTGGGAGAAATTATAATTGTTCTATGACCTTTGAATTTTGTCAAAACATGAAGTACTATTGAATATGAATGTACAAGGAAATGGAAAGTATGTGACACTAAAACTTACTAAGTACATTATAATTTTTTTTTTCATTCCCCAGGCTGTCTGGAGGGTAGCCACTATGAATTTTGACTTTTTAAAAATTTTTGAATTGAAATGTGATTCACATACCATAAAAATTTCACAATCCTAGCAAGAAACCCTAACCATGCCCTTTAAATAGTAATACCATATTCCCCCTCTCTGAACTTCTGGCAACCACTAGTCTTCCTTCTGTCTCTGAATTTGCTTTTGCTAGGTATTTTATATAAGTGGGATCGTCTAATATGTGACCTTTTGTATATTACTTCTTTCACTAAGCATTATATTTTCAAGGTTCATTCATGTGGAAGCATATATCAGTCCTTTATTCCTTTTTTTAAAAAATATTTTTTTAGTTGTAGTTGGACACAACACCTTTATTTTATTTATTTTTACATGGTGCTGAGGATCAAATCCAGTGCCTCGCACGTGCTTGGCGAGCATTCTACTGCTAAGCCACAACCCCAGCTCTTCTTTATTTCTTTTTATGGCACAATAATATTCCATTTTGTAGGTAGAATACATTTCATGTATCTGTTCATCACTTGATGGACATTTGGGTTGTTTCTACTTTGTTATTATGAATAACTGCAGTGATCATTTCATATACAGGTATTTTAAATCCTCTTGGGTATATGCCTAGGAGTTGCTGACTCATATGGTAACATTTTTTTTTGTTCTTTTTAATTATACATGACACAATGTAATTTGATGTATCATACATACATGGAGTATAACTTCCCATTTTTGTGGTTGTACATGATGGGAGTTACATTGATCATGTATTTGCATATGAACATAGGAAAGTTATGTGGGATTCATTCTACTGTCTTTCCCATTCCCCCTCCCTTCCCCATATTCCCCCATTCAATCCGCTGAACTTCTACTCTCCCACACACACATAATTGTGAGTCAGCATCCACATATCAGAGAGAATATTTGGCTTTTTGGGATTGGCTTATATCACTTAGCATGATAGCCTCCAGTTCCATCCATTTAACAGCAAATGCCATAACTTCATTCTTCTTTATGGCTAAGTAGTATTCCATTGTGTATATGTACTACATTTTCTTTATCATCTGCTGAAGGGCACCTGTATTGGTTCCATAGCTTAGATATTGTGAATTGAGCTGCTATGAACATAGATGTGGCTATATCACTATAGTATGCTGATTTTTAAGTTCTTTGGGTATATGCTGTGGAATGGGATAACTGGGTCAAGTAGTGGTTCCATTCCAGGTTTTCTAAGGAATCTCCATACTGCTTTCCAGAGTGGTTAGCGTTTGGGGATATACCAAATTGTTTTTCAAAGTGATTGAACCATTTTATGTTCTCAGTAGCCATATATGGGGGTTAAAGTTTCTTCACAACCTTAATAGTCGATATTGTCAGTCTTTGTTTTTTGTTTTTAGCATAGGTATCCTAATGAGTTTGAAGTACTGTCTCGTGTTTTTGTTTGCATATCCCTATTAGCTAGTGATAATGAACATCTTTTTCCTGTGCTGTTGGCCATTTACTATATCTTTTTGGGAAAAAAAAAAGAGGTTCAAATCTGTTGCCCATGTTCAGATCGAATTGTTTGTCAAGTGTTCTTTATATATTCTGGATACCAGTCCCTTTTCAGATGTGGTTTGCAAATATTTGCTCCCATTCTGTGAGCTGTCTTCACTCTAATGGCATCTACTGGCACAAATATTTTTAATTTTGATGGAATCTGATTTGTCAGGGTTTTATTGTTGTTTATGCTTTTTTAGAAATGATTGCCTAATGCAGGGTTATGAAGATTTACATTTGTGCATTTATCTAAGTGTTGTGTAGTTTTTATTTTCAGTACTGGAAATTAAACCCTCCTCCCTTGCCTTACAAATGCTAAGCACACACTGACACTGCGCTATACCACTGATCCCTAAGAATTTTATAATTTTCTCTCTTCCATTCAGGTCTTTGATTTTTGAATTAACTTTTGCATATGATATTGTGAGGTAGGCAATCAACTTCATTTCTTTCCTGTGGATATCAATTGTCCCAGAACCATTTATTGAAAAGACTGTTCTTTTCCTACTGAATTGTCTTGGCAAGTCACTTGTCATGATAATTTAAAACAAAAAATAACAGATGCACAGTGACCAGTCACTGACAGCCTTTGAAAGATTGGATATGACTGATTATTGATCATGATGTGTAGCTTTTATTTTACATAGTTACTTGTGGACTGAAGAAATAGCAGCAAAGTTTTACTTTATGCAATTACAGTTAATATACCATGGCAACTGAAATTTGAACTGTGTTTTAGGGTCCTGGTGTAGATAAGCCATAGTAAATGAGATTTAGAACTGTGTAAAGCAGAACTGCCTATATTTATATGTTCTTAAATTGTCATTTATTCTATGGTTATCTGATTATTATAAAAAAAAAAAAAAAAAAAACACTTTGTCGTCTTCTTCTCCAATCTTGTTTTTATTGTAACCTCCATAACCTTTATAACCTCTTCCAAGCAAATTGTGGATTTCTAACAGATTGGTTTGCAGTTTCTAACAGATTGGTCCACCTACTTAAAACAAAAATAAAATGTCCAGAATAATATACATGACTTGCACTTTCTGTGGGCAGTACTTCTAATTATGATCTCCTGTTTTGTCAGCAACACTCTTTTAGTTACATTCTCCTTTGGTTTTGTCAGCATTTTATGTTGTGATGGAGGGAATTAAGGAAGGCATCATTTTCCGAATAAAAAAACTAGATGTATCCAACATTACAAACATTGTAAATAGGAGAGCTGGAACATAAAAATTAGACCAAGTATCTTTTTTGTTGTTTTTTGGGTACTGGGGATTGAACTCAGGGGCACTCAACCATGAGCCATAATCCCAGCCCAATTTTGTATTTTTATTAGAGACAGGGTATTACTGAGCTGCTTAGCACCTCACTGAGGCTGGGTTTGAACTCTCGATCCCCCTTTCTCTTTCCCTCCCTCCCGAGCTGCTGGGATTATAGGCATGCGCCACTGCACCCAGCCCAGAACAAATATCTTATTTCCTTCTTTATCACACTGAGATATTGTCATAACCAACTGAAGTTGTTGGGGCCCTTCAGCAGAAATGACTAAATAGATGTAGACCTTTTCCCATTTTACCTTAGCAAAGAAAAAATATTCAAGGGCTGGGAATATAGCTCAAGTGGTAGAGTGCTTGCCTTGCATACACAAGGCCTGGGTTCAAAAAAAAAGAAGAAGAAAAAATATTCAAGGAAAGGAATTTATTAAAGTACATTGGGAATTTGCTAGCATTTGGTGCTTTGAGAAACTTTTTTAAAATTTAAATTTCTAAGGAAAATGTATTTGTGAAAATAAATAGCAATCTCAAAATTTTAGTTTAAATTATGTATTTGGAAAAAGCATGTCTCTCAAATATGCTTAAGTGCTTCCTCACTGCAAAAGCAAAAGAGAAAATCACATTAACTAAGTTTCTAAAAATAGCACATAGTAGCTATCCTTAGTTTTTCATTCCTATTTTCTTTGGAATTCTCATTGACTTTAAATGCTTTTTTATTTCTCTTGAAGTTCCTAACCATATAAAAGGCCAAAATCGGGCTCACAGAATTTTTTTTTTAAAGCATTAATGTTGACAGTTCTTTAATTCATACTTTATTTCTTCAGGTCGCAAATTATGGAGTTGGAGGACAATATGAACCCCATTTTGACTTTGCACGGGTAAGTAAAAGAAATGGAGATCTAACAAATCCACTGAAGCTTAGGTATTACATTGTTAAAGAAAAATTATTCATGACCCTTGTTAAAGATGAAGGCCGACTTAGTTCAATAGAGGACTGTTGAGTTAGATAAGTATAGGGACCACTGCAGTCAGATTTTGCAGTGAGGGAGAGCTTAACTCCAAATACAGTAAGGAAAAATGAAAAATTATGGAAGAGGTAAGAGAAGAATCTTGCTGCAGAAAGGGCAGAGAGATCATATTCACTTAGGGGATAAAAGATGAGGAACCTGATTAGATATTGAGGATGGGTAATCCTGGCTAAATTAACTTTAGCAGGATTCTTGCTTAAACGCAGAAGTGAACACAGAAGCCTGGAATTTGGGGCCTAGTTGAAGAGAGATTTTGGAGGGACCTGAGTAGAGTTGGTTGCCGCAGTCTGGCTGGGCACAATCAGAAGCCACTTGTCAAAAGAAACTAACTTTATTTTTAGAACCAAACACGCCAAACAAACCAGCCTCTCGGGAAAAACCCTCAGAGCCTCAACTGCCACCACCGGCTTTCCACAAGCCTGTCTCTCCCCCCCACTAGCTTCTTTCCACCTCCCACAATCCTCCTGCTCTTGAGGCCGATTGGCTGGGTCACGTGGGCAGAGCCAAAAAGTCCCCCAATGAGCAGCTCCGTGGTCTGAAAGGGCAGGGAAACAGTCCAATGAGCATCACCGCAGAGGAGCCAATCAGCTAGATGTTGCTGGGGCCGAGGAGCCAATCAGCTAGATGTTGCTGGGGCCGCTGTGAGCCAATCATCAGCGGGCAGCTGGATTGCTGGCAGCTGGAAGTTTGCTGGGGCCCCTTCGGCTGTGGCTCTCAACAGTTGGTCAAGAAGAGAATGTCAACATATTTATTCCGTTATTTTAGTGTTATAAATCCAGAGCGAATATATACTCTGCAAAGCCTTTTTAGCAGTAAAAAACACCTAGATACCTGAGAAAGTATTTAAGATACTTGGTTAAGTGCATTGGTAAGCTTGGAAGAAAGTAAAGGATATTCCCAAAGACAAACTGAACAAAGACACCTAGAGACCAAAATTATATGGTTAACAGGAGACAGAAAAGCTGATGCCAGAGGCACGTACCTTCAAGAACCCAGATTACCAGCTCAGGGAGAGGATCTGCCACAATGTGAGCTGCTGCACCTGAACCGCCAGTATCACACCTAAATCTCCAGAAGAATTACACCTTCAGTGAAGGAAAGAGTGGGTTTAAAAACAATCTATCCTGGCTGGGGTGGTATGGGACGCTGCTTCTAGAAGTATAGGCCTACCCTCACATGAATCTGCGTTTTGAATTTTTACTACTCTGGAAAAGAACAGAGTGTTCAGCTAGGTGGTATTCCTTGCTGTGTCAGAAACAAATTCATATCCTGTCTAGAGAGAGACAATCCTCATTGGAGCACTTAAGCTATAAATATTTTTTAAAAATCACTAACTGGTAATAAATAAGACACTGTTGGTAGGACTAAAGCAATTGACAGATATCCCCAGGATTTTACATACTAAAATTTATCAGATACATAATATAAAATACTTACATAGTACTTAGAGAATGGGACAAAAGAAACTATAAGAAGGAATTTTTATACTTAAAAAATAAGGGAAGTTTCAAATTAAAAAATAATTGAGAATTAAATTGTAATGGCTAAGTTCAAAACAGAATAGAGACAGATGAAGTGAATTCATATGAATTCTGAACCAATAGATCTGAAGCAATTACATGAACGCATTTTCAGACAGGAAAATAAACAAAAGAAACCAGGCATGGTGGTGTGTGTCTGTAGTCCCAGCTACTTGAAGCTGAGGCAGGAGGATCACTTGAGCCCAGAAATTCCAGAGCAGCCTGAGCAACATAGTAAGACACTATCTCAAAAAAACAAGAAAGATCTAGAGAGCTTAGAGGATAGAGGATAATAATATTAAAGCAGTTTATAAAAGTTTGTGCTGCTTGCCAAGTACTCTTGATTTAAGATTAATACATGTTAGTCTCTTTTTACTTCTTTTATATATTCGGCTTTAAAGTATAGCATTACCAATCTTAATTTAATCTTTATTATAATGACAGAATTCTAAGGAATGTGCCTCATGTATCCACAGCATTCTTGATCACCATTATGAAACAAGGGTTGATTTTTTAAAAATATTTTTAGTTGTAGATGGACACAATACCTTTATTTTGTTTATTTAGTTTTATGTGGTGCTGGGGATCAAACCCAGGGCCTCGCACATGCTAGGCAAGCACTCTACCACTGAGCTACAACCCCAGCCTGGTAGATTCTTTTTCACAGAAAACAGTCTATATTTTATAAAAACCCTCTACTGGCTTAATCCCCAAATCTTGGGCCTTTTTTCTATCAAGACATGTAAAGCCTGTTTTCCTTCTATTTTCAGTTTTCAAAGATATGAAGGTTTTTGATGGTGTAGAAAACTATACAGTTAAATCCTTGAATTACAAAACTAAGTTGTATGTTTTTAACTTTTTATTTTTAATTATTAATTCATGGGAAGTAGTAAACATACATTCAGGGAGGTCCCATGCACCCCTCATCCATCCTCCCCCAATGTTAATATCTTGCATAACTTTAGTATTGTCAAATATCCAAACCTGGAATTTGGCATTAACACATCCACCAAGAGTATGCATATTATACCAATTATGTGCACTTGTTTCTGTGTGGCTCTATGCAGTTTTAGCACATGGTGTAGCTTTATGCAATTACTACCACAGTCAAGATGCATCACTGTAGCGTCACAGCAGTGTTCCCTTGCAGTACTGCTCTAAAGCTACATAGAAACTTTCTAGTGGGGTTGGGAGGGGGAGCAAGGGAGGATTAGACGAACTCTAGATAGGGCAAGGGGAAGGGAGGGGCCATGGGTGTAGGAAAGACGGTGGAATGAGATGGACATCATTACCCTAAGTACATGTATGAAGACATGAATGGTGTGAGTATACTTTGTATACAACCAGAGATATGAAAAATTGTGCTCTATATGTATAATATGAACTGTAATGCATTGTCATATATAACAAATTAGAATAAAAAATTTAAAAAAACTTTAAAAAAGAAACTTCCTCCTCCCATCCCTAACTGCTGGTGACCAATAATCTGTTCCATTTCAGTTAGTTCATAAATGTTATATTAATGGAACCATACAGTATGTATCCTTTTGAGATTGTGTTTGTTTACCAAGCATAAAATTTCCTCGAGGCACACATCAACAGTGAGTTTTTTATTGCTTGGTAGTATTCCATAGCATAGATGCACCTCAGTTTACCAATTCACAAATCAAAAAACATTCGGATTGTTTTCAATTTTGGGTTATTACAAACAACGGTATACAAATTTGTGTGAAAGATACATTTTTATAAATGCCAAGAGATTTTTATGTATTTTAATTTAGATTTAAGTAGATAGATATGAAGTCTTCAATCTCATTATTGTTGACTATCCAAAAGAAAGACAATCAGAATTGCAATAAGTATTTGAGGAGGTTATAAGCTGAAAATTAATCTCCGTGTAAATTTTTTATCCATAGAGAATATACTTCATGAATGTAGCTATGAGGTGGCTGTAATGTCTTTTAAATAATCTATAGTCATTTAATGCTGGCTACTATTGTTTAGGCTAACAAATCTGTTTTTATCCCGCTAATGATGGAAGTACCAGTCTCAACAGATATTTAAGCAGCTATTGTGTATGCTTATGGACATTATAAGGGAACAATTTGGCTTATCATTCAGCTTATTACTACTGATGTTTAGTTATTATTAGAGTATTTGCATTATTGAATTTTATATCATTGAATTCATTGTTGCATTCACAGAAAGATGAGCCAGATGCTTTCAAAGAGCTGGGGACAGGAAACAGAATTGCTACATGGCTGTTTTATGTAAGTTATGGCTAAATTTAAGTTGGGATTTGATCACATAATATTTAGATGTACTCAACTAAGATTGTTCAGCATTATTCCTATTTAACATCCTAGTTTACAGTTAACTTAGTTTGTAATATAGAAGTTCAGTGTAGAAATTTGAAAAACTTTAAATTTAGTTAATATTCAAATATTAATGATTAATAGAATTGTTTTGTGATGTATAATTAATATATGTAAAAGCCCATATATTCACATATTTTAGTAAACTTTTCTAAATTAGAATTTTTATTGAAGTATCATGTCAGAAGAATATACATATTAAGTATATATCTTGGTAATTTTGCACAAAGTAAACACATCTGGTAACTGGTACCCAGATCAAATAGGGCTTTTGGAGTACTGCAATGTGCTATCAGCAGTAAACAACTCTGACATTGTTAGTTTCAAAACACCGATCTTTTTAAAAACTTTATATAGACATAAATGTAAAATGAAATTGGTATGTGTGATGTTGAGGTTTAAACCCATTAAGTTTCAGTCATATTCTACTTTTCTATTGTTGCATAACAAATCACCCCAAAACTAAGTGGTTTAAAATAACAGTCCTTTTGGAGCTTGAGTTGTAGCTCAGTGGTAGAGCTGTTGCCTCACATGTGTGAGGCACTGGGTTCAATTCTCAGCAACGCATATAAATAAATGAACAAAATAAATGTCCAAAGTCTAAAAAAAATTTTTTTAAAAATAACAGTCCTTTTAATATTATCTCATGGTTATGAGGTTGACTTGGCTCAATTCATGGTTCCTGCTCCAGATTTCTCACACATTTGCAGTCAGATGTTTGGTATTAGGGTCATCTTGAAGCTGAGGTTGAAACTGGCTCTTTGTACAGCATACTTCAAGTCTAGTCAATCCATGTGACCTGTGTTTCCTCACAGCATAGTGTCTGGATTGCAAGACCAAGCATCCCAAAAGAACAATGCAAAAGTACAAGGCATTTTTATAACCTACCCTCAATGTCCTTCAGTGTAATAAGTGTAATTTTTGCTCTTTATTATATTAATTAAAGCAATCATAAAGCTCTGCCCAGCTTCAAGATGAGGGAATATAAGTTCGACCACCTGAGATGAGTGTCAGTGTCATATAAAAAGAGAATGTATGGGCTGTGGGTGTAACTCACTAGTAGCATGGTTGTGGATTAGCATGCATGAGACCCAAGGCTCAATCTTGGATCTCATGCATGCTAATCCACAACATTAGCATGCATGAGACCCAAAACAACAAAAAACATGTAGAATGAAGCATACTGTGATGAATACATCCATATTTGGAATACAATACATATTTGGAAAATATAATTTGCTACAAGGCTATGACCTTTAATTTTAAAGATGTATTTTATAACTAGACCTAGTTTTGCTTATTTCATTATTTCCATCTCTTACCCTTATTAGACTTTTATAGAATTATCTTTGCTATCTGTGGTATCTTGCTCCCTATCAATATCTGTCTTTGCTCAGTCTATTTTCTTCCTCTCTCCCTGCCTCCATTCCACCTTCTCACCCTCTTATCCTCCCCTCTCTCCTGTCTTCCGAATTGCATCTCCCTCACAACTCCATCTAGTTTCTGAAAGGAGGTAAGGTACATTACTAAGTTTCATATAAAATAAAGTGAAAGAAATGTCACCTAGGAAAAACCAGAAGAGAAACTGGTACAGTGTATAATTTTATGCTGTGAAAGCTTACATACTTTCTAGAAGTGAGTTCTCCATAGAGGTTGTACCAAATCGTCCTACCTCTAAGTGTGATACATTTGTCAGACTTACTTGATCTGTATATCTTCCACTCACCAAATTGGCAGTTATTTAATTTTGTATTTCTCTTAGAAAGGTTTATTTAGGATCTTACATATTTTCAGAGGTTTTAGAGCCATTTGTGTTTCCTTAGTTTCTGGGTTTGTTTCTCATATGTCTTTGCTTTATGAATATTGATGTTATATTATTTGGTCTATTAGATTATGTTAGATTATTGTTTTTTCCTTCTTAATGTATACACTCTTCGTATTTTTCTAAAATAGTTGAATAGCATTTGATTAGTATTCATTTCTTATATTTAAATACTATTTCCAGGTGAGCCACATTGCATTTATATTTATTTTTCCTATCATGCATAACATTTAAATATCTCCAAGGTTGATTTTCTCATTGCTTAAGAGATAAGAATGAATGTATAATAATGAAGAGCTTGTGAAATACCCTTCATTAATACTTTTTTCCTTGATTTAGTCTGTCTGATGTGAGATCATACTTTGTATTTTGGGGGTGGCAATATTACCCCCCAAAATCTTATCTTTGTATTTATAAGTCTTATTTTAGATAAGCTGATATTACACATAGACTTTTGTTATCACAAAGCAAAACCTAATGTGTTGTGTTGCTTTTAATTTTTTTTAATATTTATTTTTTTAGGTGTAGATGGACACAACACAATGCCTTTTATTTTTATGTGGTGCTGAGGATCGAACTTGGGTCCCGCCTGTGCTAGGCGAGCGCTCTACCGCTGAGCCACAATCCCAGCCCCTGTTGTGTTGCTTTAAAAAAAATTCATGATATGATCTATACTTACTTTACCTTATTTTGGTGCATGTGCTTGTTAATTTGAAATGTTTGTTTTTAATTTTTTGTTTCCTTCATGACTAACTTAATATAACCCTTTCATTTTTAACATAATTGGTTACCTAGCATGAGAACGATAAAGCTGATTTCTTTGTTTAAATTTTATTTAAAGAAATATTTGTTGAGTACCTACAGTTCTTGAGTTACTATTCTAGAAGCTAAAGATCAGAAGTGCAAAACAAATGACATTCTTGTCTCCATGGAGATTACATGTTATTTATTTAACACAATACCTTGATTTCACTTATTTATTTTTATGTGGTGTTGAGGATCGAACCCAGGGGCTCACACATTTGAGGTGAGCGCTCAACCGATGAGCCACAACCCCAGCCCAAGAGATTACATGTTAATGCAATAAAATAGATGTTTATGCCTGTTACTTGATTTATTGGTTTCAAGTCATTTCGTTTTCCCTGTTGATATAAAAGAAGTGCCTATCTCAAATTATATCCCCATCTCCCTTGCTGTTAAGCATGCTTTCGTAGTGTTTTTCTGAGTATCATGCAAAGACCAGCCATGTAAATAGGAATCTATATGTCCCTGGTGTTCTAAAGTTCAATATCACGTTTTCCTCATTGGCATGTTTTACTTTATAACACTTTTGATGATGCCCTCTTGTTTCTTGTAGATGAGTGATGTGTCTGCAGGAGGAGCCACTGTTTTTCCTGAAGTAGGAGCTAGTGTTTGGCCCAAAAAAGTAAGCTGGGTTTGTTGTGGGAGTTTTGTTTTTGTTTGTTTTTCCCCTGAGAAGGAGATGCACTTGTATTTCATGGTCTGATTGTTAAATTTTTAAAGGTAGTATCCTTTAAGGGATATATTATCTCTAGATTTATGGCACAAATTACCGTGAGATGAGTAACAACCGGGGATTGGTATTTAAAAGTTCTTATCCCTAACATTGGTTTTCAGACATTTTTTTCCTCTTCACATTGCTATGACTAGATTCATTATCTTTGTTTTAGCAAATACTCTCGTCAAGAAGCTTTGTGTTATTAACTTTTTTAAATAATCAAGGAAAGTTTCTGAAGTGATTTTATCACTTTCAGAATTAAATTAGGGGGAAGTATAATGCTTCCCCAGAGGATAACAAATATTTAACTATAGAAAGTGATAATGTAGGGCTGGGGTTGTCGTAGAGTGCTTGACTAGCACAGCGTGAGGCACTGGGTTCAATCCTCAGCACCACATGAAAATAAAGGGAAAAGAAATGTTTATTAAAAAACAAACCAAAAAAAAAAAAAGAGCCCAGCTATGTTGAACACCTGTAATCTCAAAAAATTTTTTTTAAAAAAAGTTATAACCTGGCATTTTTAAAAATTTATTTTTAGCTATAGTTGAACACAATACCTTTATATTATTTATTTATTATGTGGTGCTGAGGATCGAACCCAGGCCCTTGCACATGCTAGGCAAACGCTCTACCACTGAGCCTCAACCTCAGCTAACCTGGCATTTTATTTGGGGATAATTTTGAATTGTTTCCCACAGGGAACTGCTGTTTTCTGGTATAATCTGTTCGCCAGTGGAGAAGGAGATTATAGTACACGGCATGCAGCCTGTCCAGTGCTAGTTGGAAACAAATGGGGTAAATATTTCTTGTATTCCATGAAAAGAACGTCTTATTTCAAAACTCGTAATCTACACCTTAAAACAAAAGCACTTCCTGCCATAGATTTGCTTCATATGACTAACATTGATTGTATGGGATTCAACCAAGGAAGTCCCTGATCTTTATATAAATTTTCATTTTTTCAGATCAGAATTTTGATGACAGATATTTTTAACTGCATTTCCACCTGTTCTTATAAGAAACATTGACTCAAAGGTGATAAAACATCTTCCCCTCGGAGGCTTAGAGTTTGATTTATGAATTCTTAGTATAGAATCTCAAGCAGTATCATGCAGTACACACTAATACAAAGGGAGTCATATCTTGTTTATAACCTAAGTTTGGGGAAGCCTTCTGCAGGCTCTTTTCCTCTAAATTGGCAATGGTGAATCGAGAGCCTGAATTAAAGCAGCAGCAGAAGGGTTAGGGAACAAATAAAAGATTCAAGAGATAAGAAATCCAGAGCTGGGTGTGGTAGCGTGTACTTGCAATCTCAGCAACTTGGGAGGTTGAGGCAGGAGGATTGCAAGATCAAGGCCAGCCTGGACAACTTAGCAGAACCCCATCTTAAAAAGTAAAAAGGGCTGGGAATGTGGCTCAGTACGTAAGCACTCCTGAGTTGTCTCTGGTACCAAAATAAAAATAAGTGACAGTTTGATGAATAGCAGTCAGATTCAAGGGATAGTAAAAAAGCAGTTAAGAAATAAGGTATGTAGTTTATGATACTGGAGATGAAGGAGGAAAAAAAATTTTTTTTAAATATTTTTTTAGTTGTCATGGACCTTCATTTTATTTATATATGGTGCTGAGAATTGAACCCAGAGCCTCACACATGCTAGGCAAGCACTCTACCACTGAGCCACAACCCCACTCCGAAGGATAACATTTTAAAAAATATATCCCAAAGAAATTAATTATCTAGGAACCAAGGAAAATTAATGAGCACATAATAATAGTAATTGATCAGAGTTGCTCTTCTATATGGGAGAGTTTACATTCATTTTTATTTTGGATGTCATATTTAGAGCAGGGCATTGTTTTACCTTTCAATCTGAATCCTATTTGTACTCATTTCAAGCCTCATTTTGGAAGCTTTAGGAAACGCACATAGACTCAAATGTATATACACATACAAGTACATAACAAAATCATATATTTCCAGGCCCAGTGTTTAAAGTAATGTCTGCCTTTATCTGGTTTTGGTCTTGAACTCCTAGTCCTTGTTGAAACTTTGTTACAGACTAGCATTTAGAAGGGAAGAAAATTAATTTTTTTTTTTTCCTCCTCACAGTATCCAATAAATGGCTTCATGAACGTGGACAAGAATTTCGAAGACCATGTACCTTGTCAGAATTGGAATGACAAATAGGCTTCCCTTTCCATTCCTATTGTTGTACTCTAATTAGTGTCTGATACAGTTCCTAGTCCTAACCTTTGAGAGTTTACAATTGACTAACACTCCATGATTGATTCAGTCATGAACCTCATCCCGTGTTTCATCTGTGGACAATCACTTTGTGGGTTTTTTCCTTTTAAAATAGTAAATCACCACATTGCATAGAACTTTAAAGTTCAGTTGATACCACAGGAAATGAGGCAAAGTTAAAAATGAAGAATTTTATATTTTAAAGAATTTTTTTGGCAGGATAAAATATAATTGTGATTTTAATATTCCACTATATCTCCATTGTTGTGTAGTAGGCCAGAACAAATGCCTTACAGTGTCATACTAACCAAGTCTTCCTGTTTATTTTCTGAATCTGCTCAGACAATAGTAATAATCTAGGGCTCTGATCTGGGTTCTAGATGGTTGCCCCCTCCATACACTATTCAAAGCTGTTTTGGTTTGGGTAAGTTTTTAAAGAAAATGTATTTTGCTACTGCCCCTCTTTTCTCATAGCTCCTCTTTAGTGAATTAAATGAGTTAAAATACTTAAGTTTTTTTAACAGAAAGTCTTCCATAACACTAGGCATTTTTGTCTTTTTCATTTTTCTTAAATGACTGATTTTTTTTTCCCGGAAATTTTGTTGTTTCTTAGTGCCAGTACCTTGCATCTTATTCCTACTATAGCAGGGTGGTGATGTTGGCATTCTGATTAAATATTGTGCCTTATAAGACTGGAATTTTAAAAATGTACAGGTCCTTTCAATGAGGGAATTGATTTTTTAAAAAATACTTCTTAAAAAACCAAAATGTTTTTTAAAAATTCTGAAATGTGTTGTGACAACGACCTATTTATGATCTTAAATCTTTTTTTAAAATGTTTGTTTTCTGTGTATTTCTTATTTAAATCGAACGTCTAATATAGCAATAGTAGTTTGATTCTAATTTATGTTACCTAATACACAAGATTTAGGTTTATAAACTCTTGGTTTTCACTCACACTGATAACACATTATTATGGGCCAAAGACTCTGAAGTTTCAGATAAATTAATCGGTCAAATGTGTTTCCATTAGGCTAGGGATTTTAGCTCAGTGGTCGAGCTCGCCTAGTATGCGCAAGGCTCCAGGTTTTATATCCCCAAAACAACAGGGAAAAAAAAGTTTGTTTTAGAGAGCTTTGCTTTGGTTAGTTTTGGGGTTATTACATTAATGGTACTTAAGGCTTTCTCCTATTCAGAAATAGGGTATGATAATAGAAAGCTGTGAACTTATGTTAATTAACCCCGACTTTTTACTTGTGGTGAATCCTGATTCTTTATCCTTTTGCATTTTGAATATGTAAGGAAGGTTTCCATTTGATTCTGTGGGGAAGTAGCTATTATTTTTACCTATGTATAAATGAAGTACAAAGTTCCTTTCTCTCAGCTACCATCTGTTCCACCCCAAGTATTTTAGACAAAAATATTAAGTCTAGCATTTTCATTTGTTTTCACTTTTTTAGGCTGAGGATGTTGGGATGTACCTCAGTGTTAGAGCACATGCTTATTAGCATAAATGATATCCAGAGTTCAATCCCCAGAACATCAACAACAAAAATTTCTAATCAAGATTGAAGTAACAAATTCAAAAGTATAGAAATAAGATGGGTATTCAAAGCATAGAAAATAAAATGTATTGCCATTATGTGTTTTAGCAAGTAAGATAACTTTCACAAGGAAGTTGCATATTCCATGACCTTACAAATTATCTCATTATATTCACCCAGAATCCCACATGGGGATTGGTAAACTCCTTTCAGAGTTAGGTCTCAATAGAACCCACCATAGTTTCATAAGTATCAGTGATTGTTCCTTCCAATGAAAAAGGAGGAAAAAAAAATAGGAAGCTTGGGGTCTAGCTGTCACAAGTTTTTTTTTTTTTTTCTTTTTCCTTTTTCTTTTAATGCTGACCTTTCAAGTTAATGAGCTGAACTCTCATGGAAAATGTGGAAACTGGTTTCTTCACCAACCCTAGGCCTATCCTTCAAATTTAGAAGTTTCATTGTTAACTGATGTATCCACCAGAACATCCTAAACAGCAGGATATGTGAATATGATAGCTAGGTCATTACCTAGTAAAAAAAGACCAAGGCAACTGTAGGATTCTTTGGCTAAATGAGAAATACAATGATGAAAGAAGCAATTAGCCATTTACTTCAGTAAAAATCTTACTGTGTGAAAGGGTTGTAAGCAGTAAAATATGTAATTTATTGACTAATTTTTATGTGTATATGAATGAAATCTTATTGCTGATAAAAATCTGAATATCTATACATAAGCATGTATAGATTTATATGTAAGGTGCATGCCAGGTGACTACTTATACCCAGATAATTGAATAATGAATGTATGTGCCAGACATCATGGGCTAAATAGTTGAATGGGAAAGTTATACTGTAATAATACCAAAACATCTTCATGAGTAACTGTAATCATTCGATCAAGAATAGATAATTGTGAAATAAAGATTGCAAGGAGAAAGCAGAACAGAAAAATGACATTTTAATCTGATTAGTCAGCAACATAAGAGCAAATCTCTTTCTCTTGGTAGCACCTATTTTTACTGTGTTAAGTTAGGTATTTTAGAAGGAATAATATTGGGTAAGTTAGAGAGGAGTGAATTACCAACACTAGAATATTATCAATTACCAGATCAGAATAATGTTAATTTCATATTCTTCTAATGTCTTTGAATATTATCCTACCACTCTGATGGTGTTTTGCAAAATTTAACTACAGTAGACAAGTTCTTGGTTGTTTACTTTAACTTTTGAGGGTTTTTAAGTTCATTTTCTATATAAACATCACCTTCAATTAAATCTAAATTTTGACACAGGAAGACTGATAAAATAGCCTGCTGTTGATGTTTTGTAACTTACTAAATGTACAAGCAGATATTAAGTAAAAGGAAACCGGTGGAGTGGAAACTCTGGTTTCCTCAGTAACCCTGAGCCTATCCTTTATTCTGCTTTTGGTGGCCTTCTTGAACTTCTTTTGCAGTACTATTTTATTGAAGTTAATTGTACAAAGCAAGATAATCACAGAGAAACTTGAAAACTTTCAAGGGAAAGTTTCCTAAATTATGTCATTCGATCCTTCTAATTTCCTAATAGACTTATTTTTAAAAATCTGTTTTAGGCTAAGCACCTTACAGAATTCAGAATAAAACATTTTAAATATAGAGTGACAGGCACTTTTACACTTCAGTGTTTTTCAGGAGAATTAACCTTTTCTTAGGAAAATCATTCACATAAACTCCACAAAAATCAGAATTATTACCTTATCTACTTCAAAGTCACAGTTTATCTCCATTGCAAAGTGGTTTTATATGGGTTTAGATATTATTTAAATCATATATAAGATAACTACATAATGGTTAACTTCTAACAGGTATTGATCTTATCCTTTGATGCCTTTATAATAATATTGCCATTGTCTAATCTTTATTTTTATGTGGTGCTGAGGATCAAACCTAGGTCCTCACACATGCGAGGCAAGCGCTCTACTGCTGAGCCACAACCCCAGCCCTCTAATCTTAAAAGATGAAATAATTTACATAATAATTGAACTTAGTTATGTTCTATTTTTACTTTTAAAAGGCAAAAATTACTTGAAGTTTGTGACTTCTGAAAACACCTTTTAGACTTTTACCATGAAACAGAAAAAAAAGTCCTAACTAAAAATAATCAGTGCTATCTTTCCCACATTCTCATTTTATTTCTTTAACTATGGGGAAAGTCTACGGAAAATTCAAGAAAAGCAATAATAAAAGTGCTCTGAGTGTGATTTGTAGATGAGCTACCCTGGGGTTTCTTATTTAACGTTAAGGACCTTACATCAAAATCATATTACATCAAGAACACATTTAATTCAGTTTTTTTTATTGCAAGACTTTCTAGATGAAAGCAATGTGTTATTTACATTGTGGAAAAATTCCTTATTTCAGTGAAAACCATCACGTTTAAAGTAAAATTTTTAAATTCCCAGTGTCCTCCTTGAACTAGAGAGAACCGAGCAGAACTTATTTTCAGTATTCTGACTTGTCTGGGAGTTGCCTAAAGGACTAGTCTGTCTCACCTAACTCAGAGCTTGCAGGAAGCAAGGAGGCAGCTGGGGAAAACCTGCAGGACTCTAAGCCATCACCCTGGCTGATCTCAAGGCTCAGAACATTGCCCACTCCTAGCAGAGGTTGTCCTTGGCATGAATGCAGGTTCAACCAAAAACGAAACGACAGATGAGGAAACAAACCTAACCTTCAAAGGGAGCAAGGGTGGTAGAGACCATCTGGGAAGACATAGACCTCAGAGGACTAGACAGGACTTTAATATACCTGTTTGCAGTATACCCAGAGAACTAAAGGGAAACATGGACGGACTACGGGGTGTAGGAAAATGCTACGTGAACAAAATCAGATTATCAACAAGAATATGTAAAATGGAGCTAAACAAATTCTGACACTGAAATATATAATAACCGAATTGAAAAATTCACTAGAGCAATTCAACAGCACACCAGAACTCAGGTTAAGATTGTTTATAACATTAGGATGTTACATGTAATTCCCGTGAAAACCACAATTTATACAAAAGGAAAACAAGGGAACCAAAACATGTTACTATTAAAAAAAAAAAAAAAAAAGTCAACACAAAGGAAGCCAATAATGGGGGGAAAAATGGGAGAAAAAGCTGTAAGACAAAACAGAGAAATCCTTCCCTAACAGTAATCTCTTTAAATTTAGTAGTGTAGATTATCCAATCAAAAAGACAGATTGGCATAAAGGATTAAAAAAAAAAAAAAAGGATTCAACTATATGCTGTCTGTAAAATACTGTAGATTTAAAGACACAGGCTCAAAATGAAAGGATGGAAATATATATTCCCTACCAAAATCCCCAAGAGTTTTGCAGAAATACAAAAATCCCTCCTAAAATGAATAAGGAATCCCAAAGCACTTTAAATGGCCAACAATCTTGAATAGTTGTAGAAGTCTCATAATGCTTCAACATTTACTGCAAAGTTAGTCATCAAAATAGTGTGATACTGGAAGAAAGATAGAGACAACTGGAATAGAAGAACAAGCAAAAAGATAAATCCTAATTTAAAAACCAAGGGGAGGGGGGCTGGGGATGTGGCTCAAGCGGTAGCGCACTCTCCTGGCATGCACAGGGTGCTGGGGTCATCCTCAGCACCACATAAAAATAAAATAAAGATGTTGTGTCCACCAAAAACTAAATAAATATTAAAAAATTCTCTCTCTCAAAAAAAACCAAGGGGGAAAAATACTTGCAAATGGGCACATTTCTCCAAAGATAAAACACATGTGAAGGTATGCCATATCACTAGTCATTAAGGAAGTGTAAAATCAGAACTATAATACTTTACGATTACTATTTTTAAAAAATGTTAGCTAGGTGAGGAAATTGGAATTCTTGCATTTCTGGAAGGAATATAAAACAGTATAACTGCTGTGGAAAATATGAAAATCAAAACTTGATTTCCTAATCAAAAGTTAACATGATCCAGCAATTCCATTTCTGGGTAATACACACTCAGATGAAAGTACATATTATATAGTTGAGTACGAAGAAAAATCAGAGAACTACTATATACAAATCAGGTTTAAAAGATGTTATGGCAGTAGAAATAAAATGTTACTTATGTTCAAAAGAGATAATTCATAGCTTTGAGGGCCCAGTGGTGGTAAGAGATTCCATGTGGTGGTAGGTAGGTAGGGACATTGAGGGATGAAGTCCTCATGACTCAGAGGACATTCAGAATGTAGACAGGCTTTAGAAATTGAAGGGGAGATGGGGGAAAGTTGGGAAATTAACACTGATAAACATA